GACTATACTGGTTGGACCACTGAATAATATCACGCTACAAAATGAACTTGAACAGCAACATTTTCAGGTTATCATTTGCGCCTCTAAACATTGAATGAAATAATTACTATTTATGATGAAATGGATCAGAGAACATTATAATGGCATAAATGAGGCTTTAATGACTCATGTAATGGTGAAATTAAAAATTATATAATCACTATGACATTGTTAGTTTACTCATGGCCAGACACATCAACCTGGTACCGGTAGATTTATATGTATTACGTAAACATTCAGTATTTCTTAGTACCTGAGATAAGATTACACAAATTTTCAGTGAGACGTTTAATCTCAGATCATTTTGTTAGGTAGCATTCACTAAAGTAAAACTTCAATAGATCGGTCATTGGCACACTGAAGCAGATTTCACTTATACTGCATTAAACAGTATGGGGATACATAAGGCATCATACCACGTATGTGGTAACAATACCTGATTATTGCATACATTTCGATGTACATCTTTCAGCATAAACAAGTTGGTTCAACTTGGTTGTATGTTGATTAATTTCCAATTTTTATATGTCCACAAGGGGAGATAACCGATGGGTGATGGTAAATGTACGCCCAACGACCTTATCAAGGCCGTTAAGATTCACCAATTAACAAGGCCTGCTGTCTTGTTAATTAGCAAGTGAACAGTTAAAACAGCCTCTGGAAGGATAACCCAGTTCCCAGTTTATATGCCTCTTACAACTTCAACTTCTTTATTCTCATAAAACCACCATCGGTGGTACAAGAGCATTTAGCTATACAATATTTACAAATGTGTATACATATGGACATGCGTCATGATGATGAGTTATTTATGTAACAATTTATACAAATGAGAGATAAAAAGTGATAGACAGTTGCTAAGTTTAAAATTGACAGGTGATATGACCTTGCTAATAGTTGCTTAGCTTGCTTAGCTTTGATTTTCTGTAAGAATTAAGTGACGTGCATTTAAAAAGATAATGAAATTCGTCACCAACTAAGTTGCAATTACATAGTCTACATAATCTTTCTTCTCTCGGTATGTTCTGCCATCTGCCAGTTTCGATTGTAAGATTTAAATTTGAGGTTCTAAACTTCAAAATAGGGTCATGTATAGATTTTGGAAATAGAAGGTATTTTCAAAAGACAGTGGGTTTTTTAAATATTGAATATAGAAACCCCTTAGGGCTGGAACGTTTATCTTCTTGCCATCTTAGGATGACTTGATCTGTTAAAATTCGCTTTGCTTTCTAAACGAGGGACATCTTGCATTTGGTTTTGTGATAAGGTTTTAGTTTCTATGTATGTGTGAACGAGGAACCTGGCATTTTAACCGACTGAACTTAAAGGTCACATGCAACAAAAAATCGAACATAATTAAAACACAGTTTTCACTTATTCATGATATATACAATGCATTGCTGCTTAAGAAAAACAAATAAACAAATTATAAGCCCATAATCGCAAATCAAAAGTGCAATATTTTATACTTCGGTTTACTTCTCTCGAAACGAAGCAGTCAGTGATAGCCGGGATACCGAACCCAGTCTGAGCCAGTGTGCGTGCACTCAACTGTAACGGAGATGATTTTATTGGCTCATTTACCTGTGTTTATGGCCCGATACGCGTTAAGTTCAAATTGCATGTGGTCAGTGATTGAAGATGTGTATTGCATATTGTCATTAGCAGACAGGCAGGCAGGCAGACATATAGGTGTTAATGAAACAGACATTGAGTTTTGTTTGCAATCAATATGTTATTTTATGTAACGAGTACATTATTTACTTCTTTGTGTAGGCCTACATATAATCAGGATATATGCATCTTATTTCAAGCTCCGCGAACCTATTCACTGCGCATGCGTTATGAGAGCAGCGCAGCTGTTGAAACCAGTTTTCCCCAGTTTCGGGGAAATTCAGTGAATCGTTTGAACTCCGATTTCGCGGGCTTTTTTAATCGCGTTTTTAACAACTTTATAAGTTGAATTTGCATTTTTATGATTTGTTTCGGTAACTCCATACCAAAAGGTATCAGAATCTGCAAAGTTGTATTTTACGTTGCATGTGACCTTTAACATTGTTCCATGGTCAATATCGCAATATTGGCGCAATGGTAGTATACAGGAGTTTGTTTCAATTTTTGATAGCCCCATTATTATGCAAATAAAATTATCAAAAATGAATAAATAATGTCATGCTCTCCTCAGAGGGAGGGAACATAGTTTATATAATGATGCTTATATTTCCTTGTCAAAACAGAATTCACAAATCACAGATATTTTGTGTGGGTTTGTGCGCATAATTTAATATATCATCCAACTTGATGTAATTAAACAGCAGGCCGGTGGTAACCATAATGACTATATTGTTGGACCATTTGAAGAATGGATTGGAATAAGTAACACTTCCATGTTATCATTTGAGCTTCAAAACATTGGATGAAAGAAAACCATTTAGGATGAAATAGATCAGATCATTATAATGGCATTATATATACATTAAAGCGTCATTTATGCTATTATAATGATCTGATCTATTTCATCCTATATAATATATATATTATAGAAGATATATTATACTATATATTATACACCAGCCACCAGACACGTCAACTTAATTAATTATTGCTGGAACATTGTTAAAAGCGACGTAAACTTTCTCCACTTATCTAAAACATTCCATACTCAGTGTTGACCCATGACAGATCATTAATCATTCTTGGATGTTGGTTTTTGACGGTGGTCCACGGACACGCCTTGCCTTTGGGATGGCCCCTTGACCTTGCAACTGTTGAAAAGTTTCATCAGCAAGCCTCTTTGTTGACATCAGTTCTCGTGACTCGACCTTCGGTCGCACAATAAAATATCTGAAGCCACCTTCGTCAATATCACTTTCTTCCGATGACATGAGTTGAACATTCTTCAAAGCCTCTTCATACTTGGTCTTTTGTGGCTGGGAGGTCAGCTTTTCGAATACCCTTCACTCTGTTACGACTCTTCTGAAGAAAACAAACCAATATGCTCATACTTATATTTCCATATAGGTAAAGTGAGTGTAAAACCAACGTGATAATTGAATTAATGGCTATTCTGATAATCTTATGGTCAGTAATATCGATAGTTGCATGTTTAGTGGATTTGAACACAGTTAATAGTTAATATTTATTGGACATGTTCAGCCTCTAACAAAACTCAATGTTTAACAATACATAATCCTTGTTAATTGATAAGTGAGTCATTTCAGTTAAGATTCACTAATTGACAAGGCCTAATCCCTGTTGAGTGATGAGTGAGTCATGTCAGTTAAGGTTCATCAATTAACATGTTAATTGATGAGTGAGTCAAGTCAGTTAGGACACCTTGTTGTGTTTTTATTTTTACTTACTGTAGATTTTCTGGAGTATTTTCTCATGTCATCATTCCGCTTTGTTCGGCTGCCACATTTCTGTCTTGAGGCCCTTTCCTTCTTTGTCTGTAGACATCTTTTCATAGCAACTGAACAAAAAAAATGCAATACAGTGGCAGAAAACGCATGAATATTACATATCTAACGAAGTCATCACAAAATACAATGGTTAAATAAAATCGCCCATGAACATAACAGGTTTTTGTACTACGCAACAAAAAATCACTTTCGGAAAGTCAAGAAATGAGTATTATCATTACATTATAGTGGGTCTTGCTTATTTATGGCTGTGCAGTGACGCATGTAAATGCATCATTAACTGATTAAGAACTGTATAGCAAAACTGCAATACCTTTGAAATTCAGGCGCGGAATAGCAGGGAGTGCTGTCTTAGAAAAAGTTCCAAGCATGGTCCACAACTTCCTTGTTCTGCTCTGCTTCCAACCTGAATTTAAAGTTCTAAATTTATTGTCTTGTGGAAGACAAAGTTATCACTAAGAGTCAAGATTGTCGTAATTCTACCTGAAGTTGTATTTGTTGAACGGTTTAATGCATTGAAACTCTTGAATTTAGTGTGTATATATATATATATATAGTATATTCATACTTGTATTGTGGATTTAGAGCCATCCCTCCAGTGCAGTCTCTGCATTCTGAAGTGCCTGCCTCACAGTTGCCTGTAAAAGATTTATGGGGAAAAATACAACATTCCGATAAATATGACTTGCGTGTCAGCGGCACGATATGGCTGCAATATTGCCGATGTGACAGTAAATATTAACTCACTCAAGTGTGTCAGAACACTGAATCGTCTAAAAATCATTACCAAAAGTTACTGAAATGGCAGCAGAAATACCTTTGCATGGTTAGTTGCTTTCTGTTTGTTTCCAGTCACTGGTTCTTGACTATCCCTTCCTCTCTGCAGTCTCTCCAGTTGTTTTGCATATCTGCAATCTGCAAATGAAATTACTGAAAATGACATACTTTCTTTGCAGAGTAACTCTTTGTTTTGACAACTAGTACATTTTCCAAAACTGCCCCCACGTTCACACCTTGATTACTTCTTTAAGTGGCATTTAGAAGCTGGTATGATGAGGATCAAGAACTTTTATGGATATGACAACTTCTTTGTTGCAGTGGATGCGACGTTTCGGTGTAGATTCTAACACCGTTATCAAGCAAATGATGCACAATGTATGCACAAGGAGAATTATATACATGACGGGTATGTGTTTATACAGTAGAGGTTGATGCAGTGTGTTGACATGGGGCTTGTTGTGATAGGAGATGATTGAAGCCAGTGGAGAAAGGTGGGTTATTCTTGATTAGGCTTGATTAGTTGATCGTAAGCCGTAGGGATGTAATAACCTTGATCTCTGTTGATTAGTTGATTATTTAAGTAATAGACAGGTGGCCTCTCCGGAAGCTTCGTTCAAGTGGAACATACACTCAGATAATGTACAAGTGTATAACCGCAAAAGAAAAACAAATAACTATAACTCGGTGATTTAGCGCTACACCATACCTGTCGATCTCTCATTGCGACATCTCGTCTCAGGGCACCAATAGCAATCCACATTTGTCCTCCATCAGCTTCATCCTCCGTTCCATTATCTGTAGAATATCTTCCGTGTGTTGCTTCTCTGAAACTGTACAATTCAAAGTTATTTGCTGAAGAACTGCCTTGTCGTCCTGATGTCATATACTACCCATCAAAAGTTTAGACTCAAATAAAGCACTCACTGTATGATATGAATATATGTTACATCAAAGATGAATTTCTCCAACAACTTTGGGAACCAACTGCAAACCTTATGCAGATGAATTGCACGAGGATCATGCATCAAATAACTGAAAATCGTGTGCAAATATCGTGCATGAGAACAGCTGCGTTTTGGTGCAAAGTTTTGTTAAAATTCACATGCATCCAAAAAATCAAACATACCGAACCCAGTCAGAGCGTGGGTGTGATTGCACCTCATGTGTAACGGGGTCGTTTTATTGGTTCATTAGCTGATGCACTCATTCGGTTTTGTTTATGGCGTAATAAGCCCGATAGGTGTTAAGTTCAAATTGCATGTTGTCAGTGACATTGAAATTGTGTGTTGCATATTGTCGTGAGCAGACAGGCAGGCAGATTGAGTTTTGTTTGCTTACCACAATCAACATGTTTTTTGTTTATGCAACGAGGATATTATTTACTTGTTTGTATATATATAATCCTGATATGCATCGTGTTTCAAGCTCCGCGAACCTGCTCACTGCGCATGCGTTATGAGCGCAGCTGTTGAAAGCACTTGTTCCCCCAACGCTAGTGGAAATTTAGTGAATCGTTTGAACTCCGACTTAGCTGGCTTTTTTCATCGCATTTTTTTCCAACTTTTATGAGTTGAATTTGCATTTTGATGACTTGTTTCAGTAATTCCAAAGGTATCAGAATCTGCAAAGTTGTATTTTACGTTGCATGTGACCTTTAAGAATTTCACGGAGTTTCTTCGTTTCTTGAAATCTTGACAATAACCTTTCGGCATTACAAATTTGTTTTACGATACTTCAGTTCATGTGTAAACTGTACCTTCTAAAAACGTGGAATATTTTGCAAACTCTATATCAGGACAGTTGACTGAAAGTACGTCGCTATTTTTGTTATAGCCAAGCACTTCCCGTAAAATGATAAGATGAAGTATATTGTTATATTAGTAACTAATTTGTATAATCCTGCTATATATAAACGCTACTTACAGCATCTCTTGTCAAGGTTAAACTGATGATCGTCTTCAGTTTCGCAGTCTGTAATTAGAAACATTAGCCTGTGACACACGTAAACATCAAATGCATAACCATCAAAGAAGCCGTTATATTACAATTACTGGAACTACATTCAGAGGGAACACCCATTGAAACATCGGAGAGAAAGTACCTGATAACAGGAATGAAGCTGCTGCATTTGCACAGGCCGTTGCCGTAGGAGTAGACGTGAACGGCACCGCTGCTCGCTGTTGTCTGATTTTCATTCTTGTCGCTCGCGGACGTGATTGGTGACCGGATTTCTGAAAATTCAGTTGCATTCTTATACAACATTTTGAACCATGATAATGAAATAAACAATGGATATTGGTCATACCTTCACAAGTTTTCTTTCATCGACTCAGATAGAAAAAGTGAACACGTTTGCTGTTGTCTGGACAGAGAAGTCAGAATATATGTTTCCCTTATTTCAGGACATTAAGATTATCATTAGTTGAGATAGAATGAGGTTTGATTTCACTGACAGTAAGTACAGTAAGTAATACATGGTAGAAGTAGCATTTGACCATGTTAAGAATATGCAGTTGTGACACCGTAATTACCTGGTTGCCTTTGGCAGAGTCTGTCGTACTAGTTTGGTCTGTGTCTATTTGGTATTCACTCCTGGAACACAAACATAGCATACAAGATAATGTATTGTCTCCCGATTCAAAAATAGGGATAGGGACATATTTTTGAAATATCAATTCGACATACAGATCTTTGGTTTACCGTTCTGGCCACTGTACAGTCCCACAGAAAAATAGCCGGTGTTAATTAGGGAGTATATTCAACCTGCTATCCTGACAAGCCTTAGGAGAACTTTTATGACATCCATTAAAGGTTTGAACAGCCAATTAGTCGGTCTGTTACTTTTGTTTTCAAATTGTGATTCAATATACTAAATAGTCATTATTTGGTATGGTAGTCTTGAGTGTAACATTTCTCAACAACTGTACTGTTGAAGGAGCACATTGCATCATCAGGATTGCCTTACTGATATCTTGTGTAATCAATAATATACTTACCTGAGCTGATAGCGTCTTCTAAAGAGATATCGCTGACAGACATTCTGGACGGCTTCGTAGATGCAAAATCTCAAATTTACGATAGCACAAAATTCAGTATATTGATGTGCGATAATGGACTGCATTTTCCTATCGGGTGTTCATATATATATTCAGAACCATGAGTTCATCCAATTACATATGAGTTGCTCCTCCCATCTGCAGCTTCTCCAACTTTCTGCTGGTTTCATCTGGCTTGAATAACCTGTTACTGTATTTCGAAACAGTCCGATGTCACTAATTAAAACCCTCTTCTCATGATTCTTAAATTTATTAGCATACACACCTTGTGAACGCATCTCAAATCTTAACGAATGTCCCTACTGTATTTGTTGGAAGAAATACAATGGGCAGTGCATACAACAATTTGTGGAGCAAGTAAAGAAATATATGTCATACAAATGGTATCGTTGTTTGCCAGTAAGGCACGTTGTTTATTTAAGGGTATGTCATGGATTATGAGGTTTGGTCCACTGGGCTTGTTTGATTGTTTATACCAATATCGCACGGCCTTCACAACTGAGGGAATGTTTTTGTTTAGTAATTATATTGCAGTTCTCCATACAACTCCAAACATCTCCATGTATTCAGGGGTGGGGCTTTTTGTTTCGTTTTTATTATTATTCATAAAAATGAATTTGAACAATTTTTACACTTATATGAACACCGGTCCCACACAATTTGTAATACATAATTCAATTGAAGCATGTGGCGTCATATGAACTATCATATGAATGGCATATCAAATACAACAATCATTAAATAAACGTAAATACAGAGTTTCACTTTTGGATGTCCGACATGCCATATCTGACTTCCAACTTCTAATAACAAGCCACAGGGACATTGATTATTGTGACATACACACAGTTATGTATGTTATGTTTTATGTATTATTAGTAATTTATCGATTTATGCATGTTTAACATAAAAGGACAAATGAGAGTCCACTTGTGACATTGTTGGCTTGGACATCTCCTCTTTCACCCGGTGTCCCTCTCACCAAGTCAGATTCTGTAAAACTGGTCTCATAGTTTGTTTCAACAAAAAGCTCAATTAGTGAGATTCGTGAAATTTCTATCAAAGTTATATGTATCATTTGTTTGCTTATGTTATGCTTATCTTCCAAATGTATGCCTGTCTGTGGAATCATCTGTGACTTTGTGTCCTGGTTTCTATGGAAATTAATTTGATATAAAATGAAACATGTAACATGATTCTTGTAAATGGTCACATTAATTTAGTTACACTGTGATTTATTAAAAGGAAATTCATTTGAGTATTTGTCAAACCTCGCATCTTTGACAACACAACAAATCTACTGTTAAAGTGCATGAGATTTCGTGAATACACCCGTTGCATAACACTGTTAATGAACACAAATGTTTGCGACAGGTGTTAATTGAGAATGTACACTATTTCCCTGTTTGTAAAAAGCACCGTAATGAGATTGGGGTTATTACCTTCAAAGTCTTATGATAAAAAGGCTAGTGTGTGTTTTAACAGGCATGATTGGAGTTGAAATTTGATGTTTCATGACATAATATATTTGGTGTTGCCACCATGAACTCATTAAGCCAGAGAGTCGCTTCACTGCTCAACACCTGGAGCCCCTCACTGATTGCCTGGCTCGCTGTGGTGAGACTAATTAGTGTTCTACACATCTAGGGGATTAAACAGGAAACTGTCTAATCATTCAAACAAGTCTTGATTGTTCAACTGTGTCGTAAAGGTATATGTTGAAAGATAGCAGGTGTGCTGTCATATATTGCAACGTTATATGTAATTTTATTGCAAGTTTCTCCCGTAGACCTTTTGGCGAATCGAACATTTATGTGTAATTAACATTTGTGTGTATTTCTTGTATGTAAGACACGAGACATACATAAACAAACTGTCTCTCTCATACCTTTGCGTGAGGTTTAATTTTACAAAACATCTATTAATATTGCATATATCTCAAGGACAGTACCAATATGAATATGAAGTAAGATGGAACAGATTCATACTTTGTCACTTTGTTTCATCACTGCAAACCATATATTACCATGCATATACATTTTCCTTGTCTTGACTTGATACGGTGTCCTCTCACCTTAGCCAGATTCTGTAAAAACTGGTCTCTCACAAAGCCAGAGTGGGGTTTGGCTGACTGGAGTTAGAGTTCTGATAACACTTCGTCCATATGAGTTATAGTTTGTTTTAACAAAATGCTCAGTTAGTGATATTTGTGGTTCATGAAATGTGTTTAAGGGAGATACATGTACACTGATATGTATTATTGATGCTCAGTATGGTATTACCCAGATGATGTCATGTACTTTTGTAATCGTGTTAATCGCATAAATGTTATTTTGTCTGGAGACACATAAATATATGTTAAAACCAAATTTTGATTTTACAATTATTACAAACGCACACTCGCATATTTCTTTAATCTTGTCACACTGTAGATATAATATAGACTATAGCCCTTGAACAAAGGCTCACGCTTCGGTGGCTAGTGCTAATTACCTGGCTCGCATCTCTCACCTAGCCATAGTGCAATGTTGTTTTAACAAGACCTTTTAGGTGGGACTCTGGTTAAGTCAGAGTGAACGCTTGATACAAAGCGTCATGTGATGGGATTGGATCACGTTCCTGAAAGACTCCTTACTATCTCAATTGCTCATTACAGTGGTTGATCATTTGTTATGTATGACCAATCGTTTTTATGATATACCTGTCACATAGGAAGGACAGGTGACAGGTGATGGACGTGGCCTAAATTTCTGAAGGAACATTTGGTGACTCAGCAGAATGAACAGAGATTGGTTATATCGTTAACCAATGGGTAGGTTGTGTTTCGGTTGTTTCTGAATGTTTGAACTGTCGTGTATAGTTTGTGTATTGTAAACATACAGTCAGTTATTATAATGATGTATGAAACATACAACAAAACAGGAATGGGTGGACTCTTTGGCAAGTCAGATCTCAGATATCGAACAAAGGTTTGTTAGTATCTTTAGATAAGTAAACCAATTATCGATTGAAATAATTAAACCATTGAGCAGAGATATTATTTATTATTATGTATTATATATATGTGATATGTATATATTCTGTGTAAACAACTTTTACTCGAATATTCAATTGCTAACGGCTGAAGGGATAGTGTAAATCCAGCAAGGCCATGCAGGAAGCAAATGAACTGTAAGTCCTCATGGTCCCAAGTATGGTGTTATATCTACAGTTGTTGGCAATCTATAGCCGGTTTCTATATTGTATTATCATATATGGGTAAAATATTCTAGACTGAACTGCACACGCTCCTACCCCCAAACCGACAAGCATCGTGATTTAGGTTATTTCTATAATTAGCACAATATAATAGGCTAATAGGTATTTTACATACAATAATTACACATAATAATAAACCTATATCTTTAAAACAATAATAATGATAATGTTGAAGTTTGTTGCCATTTGCACAAACATATATCTTAGATATATGAACTAAACCTGGTGATAAGTCTTACACTCGAGTACTAGTGTGACAGACAAGCCCATGCACAAAACATTCTTGAAATGTGTCCTCACCGTCAATAGTCATATTTACATTTTTGCATGTGGCCGGTCATCAATTTCAGCCTTCCCGGGCATGTACCACACAGTCTCTGACCACAAACCCAAATTAGCCCACAGTCTTAAAACAACATTTCATGGTTAGTTGACTGTTTTTTACGCAATGATACACCACTAAAAATGTCCACCTCTTGTGGCAGGTGCTAATTAGAGGGTACCAATTAAATGTATATTCTACCACAATAAGCCCATTAAGCCTGGCAGACAGAGGGCTTATAATTAATCCATGATGTAAAGTAGGTCTATGTAATTCGTGTTTATACAAATTGGGAAAAATATTTCCGCTTTTGTGGATAACAAGTAAAATATACATTTAAAACGGTATTTTGGAAAATTGTACCTTTACTTGGGGCAAATATAACAGACAATATACATTTTTGACACTGACAATAAGAAAGATGAAGATGAGTGAAGTTATACTAATATAAAGGATTGGTTCCTAGTTGAAGGACGAGTAGAAAACACCTATTTTAAACATGATCACAACTTTCAAAAGAAGTATCTCTTCACGTGTCAGATGCAGTTACATTAATATAAAGCACAAATAGATAGCTCAAAGATGGCATATTCATGCAATCGCCATGAATAAATTTTGTCAAATGCAAAATGCATTATGTAGATCAACAGTAAGAACTATAACAGAACAAAATATGTATGATATCGTTAAACGTACACGCTCATGGGGATCCTTTGAAGGAGGAACTGAACGAAGCAGCAGTAAAATCCTTCCTATATATCCAAAAGATTTCCAAGGCTTTGGATAGCTCATATTTCCAATTTTGGAAATGTTTGGATATATGATATTTCCAAATTGGAAATGTTTGGATATGACCATTTTTTTTCTAGTGTTAGTTCTTAACGGATTGTGGGATTAAAAGTCACAAGTCACATGATTGTTTGTTTAACTAGCTTTGAGCTTGACGATATCACACCAAT